ACGTCGGTTTTACTGATTCTAAAATATGTAGTTATTAAAAAAATTTCATTTGAAATATATATATAAATAAGTAATAAGTATTTTATGAACTTTCGCACCTAAAACCATGCGAATAGACATTAAATTCCCCAGTATGAAAAAATTATTTATGTCTAAATTACGTAGTTTCTCTATTTGCTCTTCACGTTCTCGTTTTCCCTCCTTCGCAATGCCAGTAATTACATGGCGCGTTTGTATGTTTTGCAATAATGATTTGTACTTATGATCCATGACGTAGGTGTCATCATAGAGAATGGCTGCATTGGTTATATTCATTTTCCGTACAATACTGCGTACAACTTCAGGTATAAGATCAGCCGGAGGCATTACCTGAAGCAAATATTTCTGTTTGCTCTCATCCATATCGCGCCATTGGCGTAAATCTCCTTCCTGTCCATAAGAGGCGCTGATAGTTGGTAACCCCAACGCTTGAGTAAATGATTTGACTGTTTCCGAAGATATTCCCGATTTTGTGGTATCGAATACGACATGAGGGGGTTGTTTACGGTCAATGCTCTCCGCATATTTTGAACAAACTAAAAACAAATTGATATTTTTTTATCAAACGATTTCATGGTATCTAGCTTTGTAACCAAGCATTCATTAAATTAATTGCCACGCATTATATGGTAGTCAATGTCACTATAGGAACGACTTACTTGATTCCAAAAGTGTTTTAGCATCGGTTTTATTTGCCTCAACTTGGTCAATCTGAATTGATATTCCATAACTAGGATTTTTCTTCAGATATGTTGATACCACTGTAACAGCTTTGGCTGCAGGCTCATTGTCAGCATCGTTAATAAAAACTAGAAAAAAATATTTAATGAGATAAATTTCTTTAAGGACGAAATTCTAAAGTTAGATAAAATTTAAAACTATCTCACTTTTGTCAACACAGCGATAAACATTATTGTGATGCTATTTGGTATCTTCATGTTGTTTAGTGTGCTATGAGAGAGTTTCTGCTTATCGAGGGCCGATTATTTGACCAAATATCACCTTTTAACCATTAACCACTCCCCGTATTCACCTGATATGGCACCGTGCGACTTCTTTCTTTTCGGACAAATGCATTTTGATATTCAAAAGGCTTGCACAGGCATACTGGCGGTCATGCCGGCCAACGAGCTAAAACACTACTAACACGACAAGCTTTTGGACCATGCAAAAAGCAGTATTAAAGCAGAAGGAGACTATTATGAATAAAATAAATTGATTTTGTTGAAAAAAACCATTTGTTCTGTTTTTTTTTTTAAGTCCTGTTTACTTTGGAACGCACCTTGTATATCATATATGTAGCTTCTGCAGAAACTGACCACAATTGTATGCAAAATTGTTTCATTATTTCTGAAGGTTATTATAGCTTCGGTGCAACCTAAGTTAACTGTTTTTCTTATTACTACAAAGTTTAAACTGTTTTCGGAGAACACTGTTTCGTGGTAAGTTTTCAATCTCAACTTTCAAAAAGGTTCAAATCTGTCTTTTTCCTTCTTATATCTGATCTATGTATCGCTGAACCGACAGCCGGGACAGTCGTTCCTAATGATTAATAACATTATATATATACGAATGTTAATATTATCAACAGAAAAATCGATGGGAGCTAATTAGGAATGCCACAACAGTTAACTGAAATCATTTGCCTTTACTTATTCACATATAGTATGTACCTGCTTTTATGTGCATAGATATGTATGCATGTATAACAGAGCGTTTCCTGTTTTTAAATTCAATTGTCACTTTTTTATTCCCATATAAGTATATGCAATTAACACAACCCATTTGTGTATTTGTCATTGAGTTATAGCATATAAAAATTTCATAAATCAATGTGCGTCTCTAGACCACCGAAAATGTTTCGAATAAAAAGTATATGTTAGTTACATATATACAATAAATGATTTACTCACAAACATTGATGTTTTGATTGGTTTGTCCGGTAGCAAGGCTTACTAGTGATAGTATATTCAAAAATGTCACAATGTTATTGTAGAATTTTAAATATGCACTTGGCATTATGGAAATAAAATTATATCATAAGAGCAGAAAAGTTACTGATATTTGGAAAAGTCTAATGTCTAACCGCACTTAAAGAAGGACACAAACGAACTGTTGTGCCCTCAGCAGAACCCTCCATATGTCAAAGCTCGGTCAATATTATACCACTAATTCATTTTATTTTTTGTTGTCTTATTGAATATTTTAGTATCAACACACACATACATATGTACCTATAAAATAAGCGCAGGTGGGTTTGAATGTATACACACATCTCTGTTTGAGCCTCTTGAAACACCATATGTACATACATATGTACATAGTCAGTAGCTTGCCTTCAATTGCATTTAGATACAAAATTATATATGAATATATACCGATACCTATGTATAAACTTAACAATATGTGCAAGTATACAAAAATTGACATATGCATATATAATATAATAGCGTGTACATGTGTATTGCGTTGTATATGGGGGTTCATACCTGACCGTTTCCTACGATTTTATATATAGTACTATTGTAATTATAGTAGAAGTGCACATTAATGGATGTAAGTTGAGGTATACCCCAACCTACTTACGTATGTGTATGCCTATGCAAAGGATTGAGATACAGGTGTGCACTTTATGTGTGTATGTATTTTAGTGTTTTTTCTTAATTTTAGTTGAAAGCATAAAATATACTTGCCATAGATTTATATGTATTTGGTAAGTTATTATCTGAGATTCTATTTTATTTGCTGGTAATGCCGGTTATCCAAATAGATTCTTAGATCGCTTAGATAAAATCTGGATTTAATTCAATAGTTTGATGTTTGACTCGTTTTTCATGCTTTTACGCACAAAAAAACATGTGACAGAAAAATAAATTATGACAATTTCTTATTTTACTTTCTTTGGAGTGCGACAATACAATGCTTTCTTTGTGACGTCTTGAATTAAAAGAAGAGAATTATTAACAACTTGGCAGTTCTATTATGATGGTTCATTTATAATGATTCGCGCCTCAATCCGACGTTGCATAGCTCTTGTTTATGCGTATTCAGATACACAAATATTAAACCTTCTTATATTGAATTACCCAAGGAAATTCCGCTTGTAGTACATAGTGATGTACAAGCTATATATGCGATTTATTAGAAGACTTAAGGGATCGTCTCAGTGTGAAATTTTCTAAAAATCGATTTTTTGTGGCATTATCTAATAGTAGACAGTGTAATAAACATTTTCTTAAATTTTGAAATCGAAATTCAAGTTATTACGGTCGCTTCAGCGTTTCTTGTAGAAAGGGAACAGAGTGGGGAACAACCAACTCCTCGTTTTTCTCAGAAGGTCTTTTCCAAAACGTTTGCCACTCTCAAAGGAAGAGTTTTAAAGATATCTAATTCCAATTTTGAGAGAACATTGATAATGTTATTGGCTATCGCGCTATGGAAGCTTCAATTTTTTTTAAATCTTCCTTTTTCTCTACGAAAAACTGTCGAAAAAAATCCCAAATTCGATACTTATTGTTCAAACCACCGCCATTTTGTCAAATTTAAAAAAATCTTTCATAGCGCGACAGCGACTTTCCTACAAATTAACAATCTTTTTGAATCGTGGACATGGTACAGGACTTTTTCTTTTACGTGTCATTGCAACATTTTTTTACTATTATACACCCAATAAATAAACATTAAAAAAAATATTTTGTACTTTTTATGAATGTATTTATTTTAAAAAAACCGGACCTATTAGTTAATTAAAATATTAAAAAAAATTGCGAAGCTTTAAGCTTAACTTAAGCTTTCATTTTACTTACATTTTACATACATATGTACATATGGTAGTCAATCATCCTAACTTTACACCCATGTGGAAAATTTTTAAGTATACGTATCTTATTTTTGTTGAATTTCTTTTTGACTTATCTAAAATACAAGTTCAAGTTCTAACTTGTTGAATAGAAATATGGTTACAGCAGTTAAAAGTCTGTTTGAGCAAGTACTATTTCCGAATTTTAGATGCTCTCGCGCCTGTGGCAATATAAATACCATTTGCCTTAGGAGAAATATATCACATTTTAATATTTTTGCAGTGATTTATAAATGATACCTGGATATTTCGTAATGAAATATATAGAACCCCGAATGTCGGGATTGGAAGTGGATTTGTTTGAAATTCACTCAGAAGTGAATTGCAGAACCTCCCTGAATATGTAATTTCTTTGTGAATATGTTCATATGCACAAACATATGAAAATGCTCACATATGAAAAATCACCGTTGACACGAACCTTTACCTGCATTACCGACCGCTATTGTTGCGACTCATTTAGAAAATTTCGTTAATCTAGACACTCCATAGTAACTAAATGACACCGGAATGCTTTAAGTACTTAAAATACTAAAGAGAAAAGTGTAAGAGTGAATTTACTACCTTCACCCATGTAGCAATTGCCACATATATAAATATGAATATGCAAACAGCAGCAGCAACAATAGGCGATCGCAAGCCTTCGGGAAGATCCCTGTTCTGAAAAAATCTGGCATAAATCTTTTCTAGACACTATATTTTTCAAACAATGTAAGCGCCAACAAAATATACATATGTATGTATATACAAGTGTGCGTATAGGTTGTTACCTCATTTATAACTGATAATGACACCTGATATACTTATATACTTACATATCTATATATGAATATACAAATATTGAATCCGTCAATATGTTAGGTCATTTATCAACCAGTTGCATTATCAAATATGTATGTGCAAATGGGTTTGAATGTGTGAACTTGTTGGTCTGATTTGTCTTTGTCGAACTGATTAAAACATATGCGAATACCTCCTTGGATGCTTTACATTCAAATTTTTTGAGTACCGCAACTACACAATAACGTGATACGTGATAAGGGGGTGATACCAGCTTTGAAGCTTTGACCATTGGGACGCACATCAGTTTTTGCCTCAGTCTTCCAAGCACCGCTGACAAGTGCAGTTCATTTAGATTTAACAAATTGAATTCAATTGTGATATACAAACAAATCAGCGAACTACAAACGACTATTTCTATCTGTACCCATTAGAAGTCTACTATTAAGGCAAGCACCGAGGCTGTTTATATTTAAAATAAGGGGAATCATCCGTCTCACAAATAAATTCCCAAGGTATATATGTATGTGGTAATATTTTTATTTTCGGGTCCAGATGTAGATGAATATATAACGGATATATGTTCTAGACAAGGAGTAAAAAGTTGTATAGGGATTTGTCGATTTGTCGTGAAGTAAAATTTTAACCGATTGCATTTATTTTACGCTAAGCATACTTAAGTTAGATACACAGATTGTTGCTTACTACAATTTAAAAATAATTAAACAATCTAGCCAAACTTGTTTTGCTTTTGGCAGCATGAAAATTAATTTGTAATATTATCAAAGATTCAAATTACGTACTTCCCTTTAACAAGCAATCACTTGAATGTCAATGATGTACTTGTGCTCATGTCTCAAGAATTTAATTATTGAGTTCTGTTTCATATTGTGTGTTCTGATATCATATTTCTTTGGCTCTTTGTGTTTTCTCTTTAGGGAAAACTTCTACCATAGTAGTAAATATATTAAAGGTATGTATGTAAGTACATACGCATTAAAATATATGAATTTGTTTGATTGTTTGTTCAAAACAAATAACTGATTACTTCATTACCATTTTCACAAACGTATTTAAGACAAAAGAGAAATTGTCAGACATTCACTTGCTAGAAATAGATTTTCTTCAATTACTAATTTATATTGTTCGATTAAGATGTGATATTGGACTCCCTAACTACTGTTCTCGAAAGCAATTTTTGTTGCGTTAGGATGATAACACAATATGTTATTAGTTACTATATGAATATGACGTACATGTGTAGTCCATAGCGATGTACATATGTATATCTATATTATGGGGGCCTATTCAGAGATTAAATACAAATTTAAGATAAAGAAATTTTATAATTTGCACTATCTACGCATATATATGCATATGTATGTACTATACTTAAGTTCTGAATAATTCTTAATCAGTTTCGTAACAATGTATGCATATACAGTTGCGAGCATTGAAATAGTTGTGCCTATTGGCCAAGAGAGTTTTGCTTTAAATTTTGTTTCTTTTATGATATTGCCGTCGATCATTATTTTATTTATATTCTCTGAAGTATAACGGTCCTGTTATATACAACAATAAGTGTAAATTACTTACCTTTACTTCTTTAAAGCTAATTTTGTTAGGATATCTGTTTTTATGAGCGAGCAATAGAATAGTAGTGAACGATGAGATGATTGCAAACAGATAATTTTTAATAAAAAAAATTTAATTTTATCAAACAAAAAGTAAGTTTCCAGATCTTTTATTAATTATTCAATGCAAAAAGCAAAAAAAAAATATGACTGCACATTTTTTGGGCCACGGGAGCACTGCAGTGACGAAAAACGAGAATGTATTCAATCTGTCATAAACAACGGTAAATCCTACAAGGGAGTGGAAAGGATTGCAGGGCGTTAAGCCACAACGACTCACAATGCAATTATTTATAAAAAAAGACGAAAAAAGTGGCGCAAAATGGATTATTTCCGAGAATTTTACACCAATAGTTGTAAGATGTGCCAAGACTCGACCTAGAATGTCAGTTATGGAGATTCGGAATGAACTGAACCTGGCCTGCGGTGTTCCTACAGTGAGAAGTCTTCTACATGAACATAATTTATACTTCCGAAGTCATCGATAAGTACCGTTATTAAAAAAAAATCGTATAGCAAGTTGTCTTAAATTTGCCAAAGGACCGATTGAGAATTTGCCGATTGAGAAATGGCGAAGGGTCCCATCAGTATCTAAGACGCTCCCCTAATAGAGAGTACGGTTGGCGGTTTGAATTTCATGGTTTGGTGTGTTTTTCTTACAGGCCCAATTTATTTGTGCAGTCCCAATTCACAAGATTACTAGCATAACGGACCGACACAAATTCGTGGATATAATGCAGTATATTATGATATCATTTGCTGAAGAGGACATCCCGCTGAAAAGGATATTTCAGCAGAATAATGAAACGAAGCATACCAGTAGGGTGGCAAAGGAGTGGTTTCGGGTCAATGGAATTGATGTCATGGATAGGTCAGCTCAATCGCTTGGCCTCTATTCTATTGAAAACCGTTGGGCAGACGTCAAGAAAGCCGTGTGGAAGGATAAACCCAAAAATAACAACGAGTTGTGGAGCAATCATGGCAGAGCACACCACCGGAAATATGCCACAGTCTCGTAGATTCTCTGAAGAAGCGATGAAGTGCAGTTATCAAAAATCATGATCATGCTACCAAGTACTAAGATCTCCTATAGACAAAACTTGCAAAAATCTTTCAGTATTTCTTTTTTTGATTTTTAGTACTTTACTACTATTTTACTGCTCCCAACAAGTTTCATACATAAAAAAATCTTTGTAAATAAACATATCTTGTACATATTCAAATATAAATATTTTTAGTAATAAACATAGCCTGAAAAATATGATCCACTTTTGCATTTCAATGGATGTTAAAATTCTTTGGCATTTTACACAACTCACAGAAATGTAAAGCTCTAACACCCACTACTATTTCATTGCTCGCAGCTGTACATAAGTGTAGCTGTATGGTCTAACCTAAAGCTTTACTCATTTATTCTGCACCAAAGCATGTACATTCATATGTACATAGATGCATATATTTATATATTCTTGCAAGTCACTTATTTGCGTATCTCAAAGATACAACTTTGTACAATAATGATCTTGCAAACAAAGAACATGGATTGAAATTTAACCGATTAAGTTAATTAAATGCCAATCGACAGTTGTGAAATTTTAAGTTTGCAGAAAATGTTCGTACCAGGAATAGAGGATCTGAAGAGTGTTGTACAGCCACATCTAGCGGGTGGTGAATTGCAGTCGTATAGCACTCGTTACCTCACCAAGCCAGGCGACAACTATGGCAGCTGCATGCTGGCCATAGCAGCTAAAATTAAGAGACCAAATGGGGTCATCGAGGAACTGCCTTTAATTGCGAAATTGCCTCCTGTGACGAACGACTTATGGTGGCAAATATTTCAACCGGAACGCACTTGTATTACTGAGAACAAAATGTACGAGATTGTCGTACCAGAAATACATCTATTGCAACTTGAAGCTGGCTTATCGAAGGATAAATTATTTGATGGCCTTCCCGCTTACTACGGAAGTCGAATATCACTTGATCCAAATGCTACCAAAGTTGACAGAGATGCTGTTCTAGTACAGGAAAATCTCCAATTATCTGGCTATAGAGCTGGCAATCGTCACAAAATGTTCGATTACGTTCATGCGAAACTCGTCTTGGAATATATGGCGCAGTATCATGCACTGCCTATTGCTTTGCGCATTAAAAAGACGGAGTTATTTGCAAGAACCATACGCCCATATTTCAACCGCTTCAATATGAATACCACGATGGGCGATGAAATGAAAAACGAAATGCGTAGAGTGAGTATTTTTATCAATGGCATGTATTTCACTTTAGAAAGTATTGAACTAAATTTAAAAAAAAATCGGTTTCTCAAGGAATTACGTGAAGATCTTCAATTGGCCACTAACAACAATGAAGAAGCGATCAATAAAATTCTAGAGAGGTTTCAAGTCTATGATAAATGGTTGGAACAACCAGAAGCTGTCGATGGATTATATACCAGCTTGGTACATTGCGATTTGTGGATAAACAACATCATGTTTAAATATGGTACACAACTAATATTAAAATCCTAATTAATTTTGTAATCTGTTATATTTTTGAAATTATAATATATTTTTATTTTTTATTTTTAATAGACGATAGCAATCAACCCACGCAGTTAAAATTTGTGGACTTTCAAATAGCACAATATGAGTCTTGTGCGCACGATATTATATTTTTCCTCTTCTCTAGCGTCGATTGCGCCGTGCTTGAAGATAATTTCGAAAGTTTTTTGAAAATTTATTATGACGCTTTTATACATAATCTGGAAGAAATGCAAATCAATACTGATGATTACTCCTATGATGGGTAGGTATATACGAAGAATATGGCTTTGGCGTGGCCTGCCGAGCGGTAAGCACCGAAAAGCCGAATTTTCTTTAAAACTCTCAGCAATATTAATATATCTCTAATGAAATGTGTATTCATTTTGTTAATTAGATTTTTGAATGAAGTGCGACGTGTGGGTCCAATTGAAATTCCACATCCGATATTTATGACAAAAGTTATTTTAGCAGACAACAGCACACTTCCGGAAGATTTCAAGGATCTAGATATGACTATTTTAAGTAAAAATCGTGGACTGCAAACGATTACTAAACGATTGGAAGATATTTTGCGATTAGCGAAAAAATTTAAAATGATTTAAAACTACATATATACAAAAGGAGTATTATCTCTGTAAAGCTTTATTTATTCTGTCTAAGCTTAAGTATTGCAGATGTATGAGAAATAATTACATAGTGATTGAAGAAATTATATACATCTTATTTATTTGGTTTTATTCTCTAATTTTCGATAAAAAGCTCTTCCAAACTTGAAATGCTGCAAGAATGTTGACTTTGTATACCGAAAAGCCATAAGAGACTTCTATGCATCTGCTCCAAACAGGATTTGAACCCACGGTCAGAGAATCAGAGATCGTTTATCATAGACAGAACGTTTAATTATAAACAGGAAAGTCTATAAACATGATAAACGTTCTCTGGTAAAAAAAACGTTCTCTGGCCTTATCTATTTAATAACATTCTCTGCCTAAAAGTATGCTTTCCAGTTATTTTATTCCAAAAAGACTATCAGCAGAGAATGTTAACTGATCGGCAGATATCAGAGATGTTAATTCTTCACATTATAGACGATGTTTGTAAACATTCCTTGATCAACTTGAAACATATTTGATCGAATTTTAAAACACGTAAAGCAACGAAGTAGAATATAAATAGAACTAGTCGTTATGTTTAACCAACATTATAATAATTTAGTATGTTTGTCTCCCGATGACTATACGTTTTTCCTTTTGGCCCTAGCTCTCCCATTAACAATGCCACACATAGTGCCCTCTGTGGTAAATGTGGGGATAAAAGAATTTCCATACCGTTTTTGCTTTCACTCCTTATACAAATCCTCAAATTATATTAAAAAAACTATTTATGTATCAGTATAACTGTTTGTAAATAAATGATTCTATTAACGCAAATTGCTACATACATATGTATATATAAGCTATAGATAAGCCGTTATATTTGACTTAAATTAATTATGATTCGCTGTCAGACAGAATTACTAAGAAGCTCCACTTGAAACGTGTAATTGCGAACGCACTCATAGTCGTGTGTGGCGAACTAGAGGATCAAGTTAACTGATAAGCTTGTTTGACACTTTTTAAACTCTCGCAATATGTACGTATGTACATATGTATATGCGTAAAGTGTCGTTACTAAACACTCAATTAAGCTACAAGACTGGAATACGGTGCAGGAGATCACACTAGCCCTATGGGCTAAAAAAAAAAGATTAAGTTAGCGCGGCCACGCTCCTATTCTGGATATATCTTCCAAACCGCCAAACTTGGTGGAAAGAAATCTTTTTAGCACCTATGAAAAAAGCGTAAAGTCAGTTAATAACATGCCGACAGTTATATTGAAAACTACTAACAGTGCGGTAACGCGGTAACTGCAATGAGGACGGCCTCGCAAATATCAATGTTCATCAGAGTAAAACTTTGCACAAATAGTGTCATTAATATATTTACTCATATGTTCAAAAAATGTGTCAAGGGCGCAGATACCATGCGTATGGCCCAGTGGTTAAAATCGGGTCAATACTTCTCCTAGTTTCTATATACATAATATATACATATATCCGAAATATGTAAGAAATCTTAATAAAATACGAATAGTCTCTTTCCTTAGTCTATGTTCATGGCTGTGATTGTGAATAATGGATGCAACACGTCTTACTTTTATTAAAAATATTTACCATACTTACTTGCTATACAAACATGTGTGTGTGTAAAAAAGTAAGCAAACGCAATTTATCGCCAATGATAATGAAGTCAAGTAATGTTAATGCCTCAGTTTATCAAACCGAAGTCAAAATACTTCAATAAGAATACATGCATTCCTAAATACATAAGAACTTATCTAACCATATGTATAACAGTATTGAAACACCTAATAATTAAGATTTTCATTGACTCGTTGTAAGAATCGGTTGAATTAATTATTTCCACATTAATATGATAAAGGTTACTGTATGTAGAGTATTCATACATATGTACATATACATATATCTACATGCTTGTGGTATATGCATATTGGAGTGGTTGCATGTAAGCATACGGTTGCTTCTCATTCCAAGAAAATTGGAAGCCATAAAATCGCATTAACAATCCTTATGATTTTTTGAAAATTGGGTGTTTTGCTGGTATTTTCATAGCTTCGTTTATGCTTCTATATATGTATATGCATATGTATGTATACATATTCATCTAATATATAAATACTGAAATTGTCCCTCCTTTTATGGTCGAACTTCGCAATACCGGAGATTTCTTCGGATCATAAAGACTGAGTAACCGTTCAAAGGTAGCACAAAGCTTTTTGCATCCGTTCATAATAAATAATGCCAAATGCAAACAGCATACATACATACACAGCGTTACAAAATAACCAGACTGATTGTAAATATATTCATAAAATTTAAATATTTGTCCATCGCATCACCTTCTTTTATGTGTAAGAGTATGTATTATATGAGAATAAAATTTAAATATTTGTCCAACGCATCACCTTCTTTTATGTGTAAGAGTATGCTCTGATATGTGCGAGGTGCAAGTTGAATGCTAGTTTTGGAATTAAGTGTCCATAGTTTTTAAACGTTGTTTTAGTACACAAACTCTTTGCACTTTATTATTATCATTCAAACACTACCCTCTTATTGTCCAGTATTCAAAAACCCAAATTGTAATTTTCTTCATATGTTTTATATGGAGACATATCACGAAAAATAGACCACAACAGTTCCGGGATTTTGATTAACTCTTTCCGATTTTCATTTTCAAAAAAAAAACATTTATGTTGTTGTAAACGAATATATAGTATAACCTAATAATAGACGAATGTAAAACGCTTTTATTTCTTGTTCTTTGCTTTAAGGTAAACAGCAAGAAAGAAAACGCATTTGGTGGGTCTTTAGTTTTAGTACATACTGTATATATATACATACATATGTTTATTACAACTAACTACTAATTCATTAATTCACATATTATACATATATATATATATATACATATATAAAAAAGTATATATTTTGACCTTATCTTTCAAGACAAGAATTATTAGCAATGGGAAACAAACATGTTTACTTGTTTATCTGAAATGTCTTCATTACTGCATATTTATTTTTATGTATGTACATGTATTGTACAAAAGTGTGCATGTTTATTTCGTGGCGGTTCGAAGCGATCGGCTACTTTGTCACACATATATGCATAAATACTGTGCGTTATACGATTACACACGTAGACAGAAGTGTTTGTGATTATGCTTATTTTTCATTTATAGGCATTGGCAAAACTATCGAAAGAACATCTTACTACTTTTTAATAGATATTATAATATTTTTTATTTAAGCACAGTAAAATTTATTCTATTTTTAAAATAGCTTATAAGAATAACTCTAAAAATTTTTATTACGTCGAGAAACACTTGGAACTAATCTGATGTGAACCAGTAAAGGGTTAATGGGGACTACAAATAAGTTAATTCGTGTAGTCAATTCGTCATATTAGAGTAGATATGGTACGAATATATATATGTATATCTCTATGCATATTCATATATGTATGTATGTACATGAGTATATTGAATTAAAGTCTGACATAAACAAATATGAATATATTATATACATATGTATGTACATATGTACATGCTATAAGTATGAATATCGAAATATGTACGAATATGTCACATTGTCATAAGTGTTTATACATACATACATACATATGTCTTCGTTTATTTAGTCTTGGTCAATAACAAGCGGCGAATTCGAAAGCACAACAAAGAGGCGGAAATGTTATTCATATTCACTTTCATGGGTTCAATGGCATGTGAAAGTGAAATTGCATAGAATCTAGGAAGATACGTTTTTACACATACTTATGTATGTACATGTGTTAATACATTGTATTGAACAATGCTTTAGGAGGAGATCTTTAAATGTATATGTATGTTGTACAGAACTTCATACATATTCAGATGAATACGTCACATGTTTTAATTGATTGCAGTCGACAACAAAAACTTTAGATATAGTACATTATTGTTTTGATTGCGATTTTAGTACCAACATTTATGGAAAACAATGTAATTGAAAAAATATGTATGCGATAATTCTCATATACATTTGTATATATGTATGTACATATTTATATTTATAAACCACATTCATTCATGTACATATGTATATTGGGAATAAAATCTGCTGAGTATAATATTTTATATTCATAAGTATGTGTACGTACAAGTATGTACCATTGAACGTATATGTATGTGTTAAGCACGGAATAAAGTCAACACGAGCAGGTTTTAAAAACAACAATATTGTACCATACAATATGATAATAAAGTTGTTTAGCTGGCTTTATTGGAAAATATGCAATATTATGCACCTAGGCTACATAAGCAAATGTTTGCATACTTATGTCCATGTATACATACATACATATGTTCGCAGTTATGAATGCATATGTGTGCTGCAGAGAAAAATAAAATCCAATAGCTTACCTTCTTTCTATCAAGAACTGTGTTCCGCCTACATACACATATACATATGTAAATATGTATGTAAATACAATAATTTATTAGTCATTAATAAATTTTAGAGTTAAGATTCTACTATATACTTTGCTTTTTAAGATGTTCAGTAGATTTAATACACTCGGGTCAATATTTGAGGAGGCTATAATGCTCTTCGCTGTTTTCTCTGATAATACTTGAGAGTGGTAGACTCTCCCGGCATTGCTAAGTGATAGAATGTTTTCATGGCATGGAAAAATACTAAAATTTTAACCAAGATTATTGGAGTATATGGCTTTTTGTGGGTTATTGAAGTACGCCACAAGCATTAAGACATCATAATGGGAATTGGTTTTCATACTTCATATGGAATGTGATTGCTTTTTGTATGTACATATGAATGTGTGTATGTGGTGTAACAAATGTGGAAGTTGTTCACATCGTTCATATCAAGGCTGTTATTGACGTTTAGCAGTACATACATATATTTTACATATTTAGTAACAATGGCATATATGACTGTGTAAAATAAATAAATATCTATCTTATGCATTACATTCATATGTAC